CTAAATAATGTAAAATCGTATTTACGATAAAAAGCGCCAAAATATAATATTTTATACTACATAATGTTTTAATATTATATAACTTTAACAACATCATTTAATTACAAAGTTTGTGTATAGACTGTGAAAATAAATATATATTCTGTTGTGACTTTATAGGCAAGTTCGTCACAGGGGAGATTTGTTTCCAGTCGTAAATGTCGATCATTTTGCCCTGAAAGACCAATAAAGTCTTTCGGGGAAGGCTCCAACACTGACGAAAGTCACGACAGACAGACGGACGTATCATTAATACGATCTTCAGACACGCCACCGCTAAGACTATGTGTTACGTGAGTTGGCGGTAATCGCGTGGTGACCAGCGACAAGGGGGGAGCGTGGTGCGCGCGCATCAACATATATTTCGAAAAAACATCGTCTCTCTCTCTTTACTCCAACTCTTCTAGATTTAACCTGAGGTTGAAGCATGCTAAGGAACATGGAACAACCAAGGTTCTAGGAATAATCAGACGGTCCATCTGCATTAGTCAATGTTTTTGGCGCCAGGCCGCCTCGAAAAGTAGATTTTCTGTCCTTGGAAAAAATGCAGATGCCAAAAGTTTTCATCGCCGGATGTCTATATATTTTTACGCAAGTTGTCTGCTTCTAGACGCCAAGATTGAGAAGGTATTTTTACTAATGTGTGCTCTGTTTCAAAGTGGGTTTGTTTCTCGGCGTGTCAGGACGTCGAGAGAAAACAGAAATCTCGAATCGTCTGCCAACGGCAATTCGATATCTCGGATATAATATACCAGGAGTCGTAAAGCTGTAAGAGAAGGCAATATCATTGTGCGTCTTGGCAGTAGGCAAACCTTTACATTTTCGTCACATGTTCTAATAATTATAATATATAGTGAACAAACCAACACTATAATGTACACTATTGCGATACGCGTTTCGACCTCAAGAGGTCATCATCAGTGGCACATATAGTCAAATGGTTCGAGCAAATTTCATAATTAAAATAAAAGGTAATTGACAATTATTCACAGGAGCCGTTGCTGGTCTCGGCGAGATGTACCTGTGAACTCGAGAACCGTCGTCTTTTCACTCGTCATTCCAACCCCTAGGTTTCACTTCCTATCGCATAAAGTCTGGTATAGCCTGCCAGACGTCCACTCTGAAAGACTACATTAACCTTCAGAAATTCCTGAAAGATAGGAAAGTGCCGTTTAATCTTCTCCAAAACACAAACTCGAAACCTTTCAAAGCCGTCATAAAAGGGATCCCCCCCTCCACTCCTCCCAAAGTCATTCAAGAAGAGCTGCAGGCAATGGGATTTCTTGTGCAGAACGTCATCCCCATGACTGCGTGGCGAGACAAGAGCCCATTGTCCATGCACATTTTAGAGCTGGAAAATGTCCCCCAAAGCCACAAAATACTCGACCTGAAGAGCCTCTATTATATTAAAACAAAAGTGGAGCCATACAAGACTCGGACCGTCCCGCCTCAGTGCGCGCGGTGCCAGCAATTCTACCACGTGGCGGCCAGCTGTCAGGCCCCTCCGGCCTGCGGCTACTGCTCCGGGAGTCATTGCTCATGGGAGTGCACGGCCCGACTCGAGCCGGATTTCATCCCAACTTGCGCCCTTTGCAAGATCGGCGACCACAGCCCCAGATTCCGGGGCTGCCCATTTTTCCAGTCCCTTATGGATAAAGAGGGCAGGCTCAACCAGAAGAAGGCCACGGGTAAACCCCCCAACGCTGGTCCTGTCCGACAGCCAGCCCTCCCCAGACCCCCAAGTTATAACAACAGAAACTTTCCGGCCATGCGTGTGACCAACGCCTGGAACAGACCACTGGTCTTCGGCACCCAAACGGGTACGCCGACGCATACATCTTTCGTGCAGCCATCAAATATTCCTTTCCACTGCCAATTTATTCCGAACCAAGTGCACTCTCCTGCCGCACAACCCAGGAATCTGGACCCACGGACCCCCAACCCCTCTCACAGAACCTGCTCACCCCGCGGCTCTAACTTGGCTCAGTTGCCCCAGTACTCCGAGGAAAATCCCGAACCACAACAGCCCTCTCGCAGAACCCCTTCTCCTTCTTCAGAAGTGGAGAGAGACGGGATTACAACGAACATTTCCCAATCGGCCGCACCTAAAAGGACAAAGACCAGACCCGACACACCGACTCACCCCCACAGACAAGGACAAAAGCGTACCGAAACGGGACCCCAGTCACTGCCTGACCTTCGTCCGCCAGCACAGACAAACAGCCGGATCCCGTTGCCACGTCAGCAGCGCTTAGGAAACTCCTACACCGACCGCCAAACCAGAGACTTTGTCAATATAGTCAGGTCGTTCAATCCTTCTTTCTCTTTCCAGTGCCTCCTCCAATCACTAACAGCCATGCTCTTTCAGTTTGCCCAACATCCCTACGAAAGTGCCCTCCCTGTCATCTTCAACACCTTCCTAACCCAATTGCTCGGCATCAATTATGGCTTCCCTGTCTAATAATACAAACATAGTGTTTTGGAATGCCAGGGGCATCCGCAATAAAAAATCCGAATTCTTCAGATACTTGGAATCAAACAACATCCCAATAGCCCTATTGAATGAAACGCACCTAAAGTCAACTGTGAAATTCAAATGCCCCAACTATCATGTGTACAGGTCCGACAGAGAGGAGCGACCAGGTGGGGGCACAGCTATCTTAATACGAAAGGAAATCAAACATTCGGAAATCCTTCTACCAAAATTACAGCACATGGAAGCCACTGCGATCCAGCTGCATATTAACAAGGAACTGATTACGTTAATTTCGATCTATAACCCTCCGGGCCAATTAGTGGAGAGGGACCTCGACCTTCTACTCCAAACGGGCAATAAAGTTATTCTTGCGGGCGACTTCAACGCGAAGCACAACTTGTGGCATTCCATCAGGAGAAACGCGCCGGGACAAACATTGCTCAACCACTACAACAAAAATAACTACTTAATCGCCGCCCCCATTAACCCTACTCACGTTCCGGATAACGACCCGGCAAGCGCTGACGTCTTGGACCTCGCGGTCTTAAACAACGTCCAATCCCACCATGACATCAAAACCTTAGGCTTTCTGTCCCACTCGGAACGCTGGTCCTGTCCGACAGCCAGCCCTCCCCAGACCCCCAAGTTATAACAACAGAAACTTTCCGGCCATGCGTGTGACCAACGCCTGGAACAGACCACTGGTCTTCGGCACCCAAACGGGTACGCCGACGCATACATCTTTCGTGCAGCCATCAAATATTCCTTTCCACTGCCAATTTATTCCGAACCAAGTGCACTCTCCTGCCGCACAACCCAGGAATCTGGACCCACGGACCCCCAACCCCTCTCACAGAACCTGCTCACCCCGCGGCTCTAACTTGGCTCAATTGCCCCAGTACTCCGAGGAAAATCCCGAACCACAACAGCCCTCTCGCAGAACCCCTTCTCCTTCTTCAGAAGTGGAGAGAGATGGGATTACAACGAACATTT